ATATATTACCGCAAAAATCCAGCATGTGTCGGCCTGTCGTATACGTCGCTATGTAATGCGCCTAATTCACAATACCAGGTTTGTATTCCTGTGGTTTTGTAGCATTTTTATTTTTGGCCGGATTTTTATTTTTTTCGCCCGCGCGCACTAGTTTGGGGGTCTTCAGAGGATGTCATCCATAAAATTAAATCGGTGTGGCCTTATCATGTTGAGCAAGGGGGCTACATACTTAGGCATGCCCAATGGGAAAACTTTGAAATCTTGACCGTCCGAAACGCTATTTGCTGCATTTTGTGGGGTAAATTTTGCTGGTAGACTAAGTTTAGCTCATACACACTGATTTTTTTCCCTCGTGAGTGGCAAAATTCCTTAAAATGACGAAAAGACAGATGCTATCTAGAACACTGCAGCTTCAAAATATGGCTGGGTACTGGTACACTGTACCGTATTGTGAACTGTACCCATACCTGTAAAATTGTTTAGATACAGGTCTGAATCCAGACATAAGTTGTAATAATTATTGTACCTTATCTGTACCTGCAAAATAAATAAATACATCAGGTTGACAGCATGTTTTAGACTCAAAATAGATAAATTCTCTCTCAAGTACTTCCTTCAAGAGTATGAAGATTATGATGCACAAAGCCATTTAAATTGACGATTTATCGCTAAGAAAAGACGGTTGGCTACATTTGTAACCGTTACAAATTATAGGCCAAACTTGGTTACAGTTACAGGTCTGGACCTACCTTGCTGTACCTGAATCTACACTACCTTAAATTTTTTTCACTGGAAGGCAAATAGTCACCCTACACTGCATGCATTTTAGTTTCCACGGTGACTATTATGGTCTGTTTGGAATTCTAAGTCAATCACAGTAATTATTCTATTTTGACTCTGATGACCATCATCATATTTTAAGACTTTCCTAAGCTTGTAGTTATTGGGTTATGATTTATTTGATTGTTATAACCTTGTAGTAGTGCTAGCCAAAAGACAAGCTTAGTAAAGACAAGACAACTTAACTGCGACAGTAGATGAATACAGTGAAGGCATTATAGACAGGACCTTTAGGCCACACCAATTTAATTTGTTGGTTCTCGGATTAAAAAAAAAATGAAGCGACAGGGCGAAAAGAAATAAAACAGGACTGGTCTAGGCATCCTATTATGGCCCAAAATGCTACGATAAGAGCCATATGCATGAAGTCAACAACAAAAGGCTGGGTTGATATTTCAACAATAAATTTTGAGCTTTTAATCAAAACCCGTGCACTGATAGATGGAAAAAACTGTAGGTACTAGGAAGAAAAGGTCTTTCCTCGACTGTTGGGGGCAAAATATGAGCATTTTGATTCAGAACCAGAATCTTTCAGAAAAAAAATGGAGAGGCGAATCCAGGAAACAACAAATTAAATTGGTGTGGCCTTAATGCATGCTATGATCCTGAAAAGGACCTCTACTGACCATCTCATTGAAATCTTTCATAACAGACAAGATACATGTAGTTTGACAGATGACTGCAGCTGAAGAGTGTCAAGACCTGCAACAGCAGTTTGATACTGTAAATGATACTTTAGTAAGAGATTTTAAAATAAGTGCCATAAATAACAGCAAAGAACTAGTACATACTACATAAAGCTTTAAACTCTGAACATATCAGAAAGACTGGTTAGCAAACAACTCTATTATTGCATACCCCAAAAATACTCTCATCAGGTT